TGGGGAACAGGCAGTGGGTGCAATAAACCCGGCAAACGGCAATGTTCAGGTTTAGCCTGGGCACATACCTCGCAAGCGTTGATGTAGTCAACAACAGATTGCTTCAAATTAGGCCAGGCAAACAGGGCTCGAACCTTGTGATAAGTTGCAGTAATACCACTGTGTCCTCCCAGACCACTAGAATGTAGTGCCATTAACACTGCCCGGTGTGCTTCTGTGTGATTTCCCAGCCAGATTCTGTTTTTATACTTGATGAGACCATCAGATAATGAGAAACCTTTATCATTTGACCCAGTAATGCTGAGTTCTGTGAACAGTTGCTTGGTCTGATCATCCTTGGTATAACCTTCCACGATGATCTCTAGCCATCTGGGTGTACTGGTAGAGATGGCTCCTACTGTGCTAGGTTCAGCTTGCCGAGATAGGGCATCAGCAGCCTTGTTTTCCATCGCTTTCTTGTACAAAATCTTGTACTGCAGACCAAGAAGCTTGAGAAAGGCTTTGTGCTGCATCCCTTCCTGTAACTTTTGTTCTCCCAAATGGATTAGGCTTTTATGATCAGTGGCGATAGTAAATTCTTGGTGGTGCAGATAGGATTTCCATTTTGTAACTGCCAAGATTATTGCCATGCATTCTTTTTCATATGTAGATAGTCCTTGAGCTTTGGGTTCAAGTGCCTTGCTAATGTAAGCTACAGGGCGGTTGTCCTAGGAAAGCACAGCACCCACTCTTGTGGAGGAAAGCATCTGTCTCAATTGTGAATGGCTTGCTGAAATCTGGTAGGACCAGAACAGGCGCTGAGATCAAAGCCCGCTTAAGAGCCTCAAAACTCATTTGTAGTTGGGGGTCCAGTGAAAGAGAACATCCTTCTTGAGGAGGTCAGTCAATGGTCTACTGATCAGGCCATAATTCTTGATGAATTTGCGGTAGTAACCGGATAACCCAAGGAAACCCCGTAGCTGCTTGAGATCTGTTGGAGTGGGCCAATTGGCCACAGCGTCAATTTTCTTGGGGTCTGTGGCCACTCCTTGGGCACTGATGATGTGTCCCAGGTACTCCAAATTTTGTTAGGCAAATGAGCACTTGGATCGCTTAAGGAAGAACTGATGCTACTAAAGGATATGAAAAACCTCTTGCAAATGTTCCAAGTGGGCTTCGAGCGTTGGACTGTAGATCAAGATGTCATCCACAAATACCAACACACACTTGCGGAGCAGGGGCTTGAAAATGGTGTTCATTAGAGCTTGAAATGTTGCCGGGCGTTGGTGAGCCCGAAAGGCATCACTCGAAATTCCCAATGCCCACTATGGGTTTTAAATGTTGTTTTCTCTTCATCAGTTGGTTGCAGTCTGATTTGATGATAACCAGAGCGCATATCCAGTTTTGTGAACCAGGCTGCTCCATTGAGTTCATCCAAGAGTTCGTCCACAACTGGAAGGGGGTACTTGTCCTTGACAGTGGTGTTGTTCAGCTGTCTGTAATCCACACAGAAACGCCAGCTGCCATCTTTCTTCTTCACCAAAAGAACTGGGGAGGCAAAGGGGCTATGGCTGGGCTTGATAATGCCATTGGTTAGCATTTCCTGGACTTGGCGCTCAATTTCATCTTTCTGGGAAGGTGAATATCTATAAGGCTTGATGTTGACAGGTTTGACACCAGGTATCAATGGGATGTGGTGATCAAACTCTCTGGTTGGTGGAAGGGAATTAGGTTCTTTGAAAAGGTGGGCATGGCTGTCAACAAGGTTCTTGACTGATGGTGGAATGGATTTAGTGGGTGGGTTGGGCTGGGTTTGGCATAGATGTACCATTTGAGCCACTCCCCCTTTCCTTAGCAGACCCTTAAGTTTCCTTGCCTTTAGCTTGTGACAGGTAGACAAGTTGTCCTTGACTCCTTTTAGACTAATTCTCTGCCCAGCATAAGTGAACCGTAGCAACTTTCTCTTCCAGTGGATCCACATGGGACTAAATCTCTCCAGCCAATCCATACCTAACATCATGTCATAGTAAGGTAAAGGAAGAATGCGGAGATTGGTGGAGAAAGTATGACCCTGAGTCCACCAAGTGAAGTTGAGGACCTGCTGCTGACTCATAAGCTTTGCACCATTGGCCACTGTGACCGATACAGGAGGAGCTGATGTAAGAGCGCACTTTAAGGTGTCAGTAGTCTTCTCACTGAGGAAAGAGCTGGAACTGCCAGAGTCAATCAGGATAAGAATTTCTTGACTATTGACCAACCCAGTGATTTTGATGGTTTTTCTGCCTTGTACCCCCACTGTTGCACCCTGAGACAAAGAAAAGACCTCGTCGTCACTGGATTCATCAGAGGTTGGCTAAGATTTGATGGCTTCTGGAAAAAGTTCCATGACTTCCTCTAGTATATATAGGGACACTTTCTCAGGGCATTTATGATTTCTGCCCCATTTCTCGCCACACTTCATGCATAAACCTTGGGCACAGTGCTGAGCTCTGAGTGTGGTCCATTTGTCTTCCCACTTGGGTTTAGCTTCCTCAGCTAGAGGGGCGCCTAGAATACCAGGTGCTGCTGCTTGAGGTGGCTTGCCTTGATACTTGTTGTACTCGCGATAATTGCGCTTGCCAAAATACTTGGGTTGAGACTCCAACACCTCAGCCTGCATAAGAGCCAGTGACAAAGCCACATCAATAGTTCTCGGCTTATGCAAAACAATAGCAGCTCTTATGTCAGGATGTAACCCTTGAAGAAATTTGCTAACAAAGAAAACATCATCTAATTGATTATTATTCACCAGCACTTTATGCATGACAGTTTGGAATCTATCATAATAGTCCTGAACATCAGAGGTTTGCTTAATGCTCAGTAATTCTAGCATAGAGTTGTGATAGAGATCTTTGCCAAATTTAGACTCAATAGCAATACAGAGTTCAACCCAGTTATCCACCCCATGCTGTGCTTCATAAGTTTGTAACCATAAAGCAGCATGTCCTTTGAAATGATGGGTGCCATACTGAGCCCAACGATGCACGGGAACATTGAACATATCAAAGTATTTTTCTGCTTTTTCTTTCCATACTTTTGCATGAGACCCATCAAATTTGGGAAACTGGGCCTTAGGCAAGCGACATTCATTGGTGGTAGGCGCGTCATGATAATGAACTGGAAAATTGGGGGTAGATGACTGACCATTGGCCAGGGGATGAATGAGGACCAGAGTCCCCCCATCATTGCCCTGTGGTGATGTTGCAGCGCCGTGGCCCATGGCCCGCCCCTCTTCCTCGCGCTTCGGGGCCGATGGCGGAGCGTTGTTCGCTTCCAACGCCTCCACGCGCGACGTGAGAGTCTTGATCTCCATGGTCAGCTCGGTGGATGAGTGATCGACCTCAGGACACCAACAATTGAAGGACTCCATGAGTAGGAGCATGGACTTCATCTGCGCGCTGAGCGCGTCGAGCTTTTCTTCAGCGGTCGCCATTTGGGAGGTGAGGGTGGGTGGTTTGGGTTTGCACGCCAGCGAGTGGGGTAGCTTGGATGGAGGTGGTGGCGGATCGACGAGGAGCTGGAAATCGATCGGGGGCGGTGGTGGCGAAGCGATTGTGGTGGAAGGAAAATGGATCGGTAGGGTGGAGAACTTGCTGGCGCCATGGAATCGGTGAAGGTGGAGGTAGGGGAAGGAGGTGGTGGACGAGTTGAACGGCGATGAAGATGGATTTGGCTGTGGAGGTGGGGGATTCGGTGTATGACCGCGCGACTGCTCTGGATTCAACCGTCACCGACGAGATGCTACGAACCCGTATTAGCGATGGATCGGAAGGCTCTGGTACCAAATGTCACGACCCTAACTAGATAGGAGAAGGTTGCCGGCGTGCACGCGCGGCCGGGAGCACGGCGATGGCGCCGCCTCGAGTAGGCAACGGAAGGAGAAAGAGGATTCGGAAATTAGGTTTTTCTTATTCGCTGTCCACCCATCCTCCCACACAGCGAGTTTAACATCAGTGCAATGATAGAAATGGGCCAGGCCCAAAGAATACTCCCATGCGGCTCGCAGGCCGACTTACAAACCGGTACAGCTAGTGCAGCCCAACTCGAAGAGCAGCCGAAGGCCTGTTCGTGACATGCAGGCACTGCGCCGGCCGGCGGCGAGGCCGGGGGCGAGCGGGTGTCGGTGAGGGAGGCGACAGCGGATAAGAAGGAGGTGAGCTTGCGGTCAAAGGGACAGCGGCGCTGTAGCGAGGGGCGGAAGGGAATAGGAGTCGGCAATGGCGGCGGCGCAGCGGGCGGCGAGCGGGGCAGGCACGGACAAACGGCGGCGGGCTTTAGGGGAGTTTGCAGTTTCCGTCTTGAATGGGCTGCTGGGTCGTTGGGCCGGGAGCCTCTGCTGCTACTGGAGATCGCTGCTACTACGGTGGGGGATGCCGGATGCGACGCCACCGCCTAGGGTTCTTCGGCTTGGGACTTGGGAGAGCAGTTGTGGCCTTGTGGGCCGGAGAAGTTGGCTTATGAGGCCCAAATCGTTGATATCGATCGATTAGCCAGGCATCCTAAAATCCTCTAGAATTGAAATCCATCTAACCTTCCTCTGCAACTGCAAGCTGCCACGCAAACTGCAAAAAAACGTCTACGACTCCCGAACCGACCAATCGCAAAATAGAGCATAATTTTAGGAAACATGTGAAACTGGTTTCATGTTTTTCAGAGTTCAAACAAATTTTCTATGAATCTTCTAACATTGAATTATATTTTAGTATTTTTAAATGTATATTTATTTTTCAGAAAAATATTTGGATTATTTTTAAAAAAAATATTTTAATCGGCATGGAAGAAATGACAGGCATACCACACCAAGGAAGCAGTACGTGAATGAAGTCGATTCACACAAAACCACAGTATCATCTAATCCATAAATTTCATCATGTTTGTATTGTCGCGCTTGAAAACTACACTTAACCTGTCCCAAAAACATTGGGTTAATCCTCATCTTTCCTGGGAGGCTTAAAATTAGCAACAAGAAGATGAACACGGCATCATGAGCTCACGGTCGTATCCATCTTGGGGGCTTCTTCGATGCCCTTGAAGGCCACACGGAGCTTCCTCAATGAGGACACTTTCTTCCCGTTGTTCTCTGCCATGCCTGTGGCATGGACAGTGGTGTATGGGACCTCTTTGAGGAGCTCAAACATGGGAATGCTCAGGTTTGGCCGTGTCATCTGCTCCAGCACCTCCGGTGACTGCATGTACAGGTTGTTACCTTCGTGCGTCACGCTGGCTTTTGACATCCGCAACGTGGGGTGCTCTTCAAGCATCTTGATGAACTGTCAATCAGGCAACAGGATTTAGACAGATCAAACAGCAGACAAATAAAGTGGTTACGGGGAAATGTTTGCATAAATGTATGCAAACCAACCATTTAGAGTTACCCTTTAACTCCTTGACCTCATATATATATAACAACTACTACACAAACTTTACTGGAGGCGGGCGTTTTCGGTTTCCCGCGGCGGGCAAAGCCGTCCGCCGCGGCCTAGAGGCCACGGTAAATCATGGCTTAACCGCAGCGGGCGGCTTTGCCCGGCGCGGTTAACCGATTTACCGCGGCTGGCGGTGTAACGTGCCCGCTGCGGTAAATATACTTTTACCACGGCAGGCACGTTACACCGCCCGCAGTGGTAAATTATGTTACCGCGGCGGACACCTTTTGTAGCCCGCCGCGGTTATGTTCATTAGCCGTGGCGGGCTTTATTATTTGTCCGCCTCGGTAAATTATTTCATGAATTAAAAAAATATAGCAGGCATATAAATTCAAATTCAAATCACATCCAGATTTCATAGATTAAACTTAAAAAGTATGTAGGCATTACACATGAGATAATATACATATATATACATTCACTTAGTCGTTCTTGTCATCGTTAATTCATTACATTTACATATTAAAGTCGTTATACATGCGCTAAAGTGTAATCCTGCGGACGCATCATCGTGGGTCATTTCCTCAGCCTCTCGTACTCCGATAAAATCGCTAGCAGGCTGTTCTCATTGAAGAACGTGCCCCCTTCAAGCACGCATTTGTCTAAGACAAACTTACATATGTCCGCCTTTGTCTGCTTGAAGGAGTGTTGGGTGCTCTGCACGTCTCTCGACCAGTTCAATCTATTCTTGAGCACCCTCCAACTGCTGTTGTACTGCTTGCACGCCCTCAGGAACTCACAGGCGTAGAAGCCACAGGTTTGTGATCCTACCGGTTGTTTGGCACACTGCATGATCGATACACAAGCATTACAACACAGGCATTAGAACGCATATGAACGGAAAGCACAATTAAACCTTTCAAATACTTACCGGAAAGTTGCGTCTGATTTTGATGCGGTTCTTATGCTTAGCCTTAAAATTCTCTATTCTTCGATCATAGCATTCAGGATCCTTCACGTACTCCTTATAAGCGCTATACGAAATGTACTAGTATTAGGTAGAGCATTAGAACGCATATGAGAAGACAGTTCAGTCACTTACACTTTGAGGCAATCTTCAAAGGCCTTGTACCCTTTTAAGTTTGGCACTGTCAATGAATCAAATACGCAGGCCCTGCCATCCCGAGGGTAGATGATAAATGCAACCCAGTGACCCTCGAGGCCTTGGCTGCGCCATTGAAACAAAATACAGGTTACGACGAGAAATAATAATACTAGCTAGCTACCCACTTATCTCTACAGGCATGTCTTCGACTTACCCAAAGTGGTAGGCAGCTAGGATACACCCATTTCTCCTGATCTTCTTCATTGTTCCTAGTATGTACCTTGAAATGTTCAACTTCTCATTGTCCATTAGTTTCTTCCTGTGCGCCTCTCTCTGTCGCTTGGTCAAGTCTTTCATGGTTGGATGATTGTCATCTAGGTGGTAACCAATGATGATTCTTTGAGCAATATGCATTGGAGATAGATAGATAACATCAAGTTTTAGTTCCTTGGATATATAGGCCATCAACCTGCAAGGACAAACCATCGTGGCATATATAAGTAGTCTTGACCGATTCAAAGGCAGGTGATATGTGAAACTCGCAATTCATCACTTACATAGAGAACAAGGTGACTTGGGTGATGTCAAGGTCTTGTTCCAGTAGTAGTTTGTACATGTCGTGGAAGTCCATGGGGAGTTCTACATCATTGCCGGGCAAGTGGAAGTACTCAGCCACAACCTTGACTAGAAAACCATGCAGGCCAGCTTTTGCCGCTTCCATGTACCAGAGATGAAACATCCTTGTCTCCCACCTTTCCTCGTCGACGAGCTGGGCCTTGGTTATCATGAACTTCCCATGCTCGTAATCGCCGGGGCAGTCATCCGATTCAGGAAATAGATGGAAAGGTGATCTCGGCATGGGATATAAATGTTAGTACCATATTATGGCAAAGAAAAGTTATTAGCAAATTATGCTCGCCGCTACCATACCTTTCGAACTCAAGTGAGTATGTGAGCTGCCCTTGGTCGCCTTTAGTCTTCGCCGGCGGTGGAGGACAGTGGCTTGTGCTCGCAATGGCAGCAGGCGGTGTCTTTGCCCCCGGTTCCTCCGTGCCTCCCGGTCCTTTGGTCGTGCCCTTAGATGGACTGCCGAGAGGTGGAGGTGGACTTGTTGTTGGAGGAGGAGAATGAGGGTGAGGTCTTGTGCCTCGGGGTGAGTTCCTTCCCTTGTCACCCCCGCCATTGCCTTCGTCATCGCCGTCGTCGTGATCCGGATCATCGGGGGGACAAGATCCGGCAACGAATGGTTGTGATGCTGGTGTTGTCGTCAGGGTAGAAGTCGGCATCGAGAGAATGATCTCTATGTCATCCTTGTTCCACAGGACTTCAGAACCCGTGGCAGCTCCAAGGATCGTTACCCCTTCTGCAGTTGGATATTCCATTTCAAATTCTTCGTATTCGGTCGCATACCATGTAAGTATCACGGCAGCATAGTTGGCAGGGATCTGGTCTTGGTTGAAATCTTTGATATCTTCTTTGGGGTGCATGTAACCCTCACCCACGGTCAACTTTTTCGCCCTGCCAAATGGGATCGTGAGGTGGACGCGCATGGGTTCCCGGATGTCGTCGACTGGGTGCCTTGGGCGATCCTCGATCATCGGCAGTGGCTGCCCTTGTGTCTGCCCTTGTGGAACTTGAGGCACGGCCACGCCAGCCTGGCGAATCATCTGTGACCTCATCGACACCATATCTGGGTCATTGCTCGTGAAGGCTTCTTTTATGGACCGGCTGATCATTTCGGCCACGCCTTGATCATAGCCCTTCTGAAAGATGCCCTCCTTGCACCTCTGCCTTGACCAGTATGTGGTAGCATCGAATTGCCATGACTCCACTGAGTTCCAGCTCATCTTCGACGACATGCCACGGACACGGCCACGGTGCTCGGGGGTTCCCAGCGCCAGGGTCAGCAAGTCCTGGCCCCTGCGAACCTCAAAGCTGTCCTTGGATTTAGCGGCCTCGATGAGAGCCCTCTCCACCTCCTCGAACTTGGGCTCATTGAACTTGCTCGCGCCCTCCTTGAGCTTCTTTGGCTTGTGGGCATAGATGAAGTCCTTAGCCCTCAAGTCCACCGTCGTACGGATCGGGAAGCCCGGTGGCAGCTCTAGCCCTTTCTTTCTCCCACCACTGGGGCCTCTTACCAGCAAACCCAGTCATGCCCAAGTTGTGGGGGTGCAGGTTCTTCTTCGCGAGTGCGCTGAACTTGGCGCTCTTTGCCTTTGCTTCTTCTGTTGTTCTTTGTTTGCAGAACTCTTCCCAGTGATGTTCCTTCACCATAGTGTATTTGACACAGGGTGACTTGCCTAGCTTCAGGTAGTACCTGGTCAGCATGGACTTGAAGTTTCTAAAGGCTCTTCCTGCCACGTGCATGACCCACTCCCTGCACTTGTTCAGATCGGCGTCCTCGGGATAATGGAAGCTCCTCGTCACCTCGCCCCAGATATGTGTCTTGTAGTTGACCGGGACATTGTTCCACTCCTCCCAAGTGATCTGCACCTTGTCCTTGACTATACATGCCACCTGGTTGCTGAACTTGGCAAGGACCGTGGGTGGCGACAACGGGTTTCCCTCTGGTCCCACCTCATGTATCACATGGACTTCGCCGTGGGTTTCCCTCTGGTGCCTCCCATGTTCCCCCCTTCTTAGCTTTGTCCTCTGACCCCTAGACTTGCCTGAAGTGGTTGGAGATGGAGCGGGGGGTTCTTTGTCCCTGACTTGTTCCTCCTCGAAATTTAATTCTCGAGGCACCACCGGCATCTGTTCAGGGTTTGGAGACCGCGCACTTTCAACTTCGTCGTCCCTCGGTTGGTAGGTCGGATCATCTTCGTCCTCTGTACGACGTTTCTTTGTTGGCCTCGGGGTCACGGACACTTGGCTCTCGAGGCTAGTTGATGATGATGCACTAGGGGTAGGGTTGCGCCATTCGCTTATCGGTTCCTCCGCCATTGGAAAGCTACAATGAATACATATTTTAGTTGTATAGACACAGTTATAGAGTAGTAAAGTAGAGTAGTACTAGAGTAGTAAAGTAGTAGTAGTTGGCTCAGATTTGCCCCATTGTCATCACATCGCTTTTAAACTGGTTGCTTGTATCTGGTATACAAGCCATCCTAGTTTAGCGGGGGCACTCGATCATCATCGCCGCTGCCTTAGCATAAAAGGGTTCACATCATTGCATATGCCACTGCCTCAGCTTAGAAGTGTGGTTGACCAAGGTCAGCGGGGGCGATGGCGGTGGCCCTCGGTGTCGGTGGCCGGAGCTATGGCTCCAGGCTCCGAGGACGGGGCCCGGCGTGTGGACGGTGACCGGGGAGGAGGACGGGGCGGGGCGCGCAAGTGGCCTACGGAGGAGAGCTCGGTGGCGGGCGCTAGGGTTCCGAGGATGGGGCCCAGCGCGGAGGAGCTCGGCGGCCGAAGCAAGGGTTCCGGGGAGAGGAGGACGGGGCGGGCACGGGCACGGGAGGAGGACGGGCGGGGTCACCATGAGGAGCTCGATGGCGGGGATGGGCGGGCGGCGCTAAGTTTTTGCAGACCCTTGGGGGTCGAATTCAAGGCGTGATAGACTTAGAAAATTTGGGTAGCGGCGGCACATATATAGCCACGGATTAACACAAGGGCGGGCAATATAAGCCGCCCGCCGTGGTAAATGTTTATCGCAATGGGCACCTTAGACCGCTGCCATGATTAATCTATTAACCGGCAAGCAAGTCAATTGATGCCCACCACGGTTAATATTTTTGCATTTGCTCATTCAATCTAACACTGATATTTATTATCAATCTAAAACTTATTA